CTATCAACTGTCTTTTTCAAAAAAGAGATTTTCACTTTATGATAAATAGGAGATTTTAAACCCTTGCCAGATTCTCCAACAACTTTCACCATTTGAATAAAATGGGGCTTCTAACCAAATTATATGATAAGGGATTAGCATAAATGCATTTGCAAATTTCTTGAATGACAACATCTCTATCTTTGAACATTGTATTCATTGTAATTTGTTTCAAAGTTTTAGATGTCCCTCCATTTTCTTTATTGACAAAAGAATCCATACTTCCCTTTTGATGACCACTTACATTTTGGTCTCAGCTTCTTCAAAAAACTCTAAGCTATTTTCACTTTTTTTTTTCTTTTCTTTCTCTTCCAATAGTTTGAGAATATCTCCTTTACCTCATTTGCAACACTTGTTACAAAGCACTTACATTTGCCCTTGTTCTACTAATAGCCTGTGTGGAGAGACATTGTCACAATGTTTCCATGTGATATCACTTTTTTTTGTTTTTTTTTTGTAAGACCCATTTGCCTCCAAACAGCAAACAACAAGTAAAAAAAAGAGGAGAAGCCAAATAAAAAAAATAAGAATTATGGCATAGGGAGGGAGACCACCAAAAATATTGAATAGGGAGTGAGAAGTTGAGAAAAGAATCACAATAATGATAATAATGCAATAGAAAATAGCATGAATATTGTACTTGGAGAAAAGGAAAGCGCGAGAATGAGAAGGGAATGAGAAAGCAATGTTTTCTTTTAATATTAAATAATGGGTCGAGTAGAAGTAATCTGAGGTACAAATTAATATTTTTGTAAAAAAAAAATTTTAAAAAGATTTTTTTGGATTTTTACTAAATCGAATTGTATCGACTTGACCTACTTCTTGTGTGATCCGATATACACTTGAATTATGTGCTGTCCAACAAAATCACATTTCAACATTGATTCATTCGATTCGTGTGATTCGCAAGGCAATTCTGGAGTCAAAACGATACTTCTCTTAATTTGTATCGCTACGGCATGAATTTGTATCAAATCAGTAGACTTGTATCGCGTTTCATGCGATACTAACTACCGTGGTAATAGCTACTTTTCATTAAAAAAAAATAACAAATAAAATATTAATTAAATTTAAAATTATATAAAATTGATTTGCGTTGAGAGAACTTTCAATGAAATAAATGTGAGTATTAAGAGATAGCAAGTGTCAAACTTAAATTATTGTATACGTACATATTAGGATATTTGTTATTTTAAAGAAAGTCTAGTATCACAAAGGAACATTAGTCATGGCTTAAACTACATGTCAACTTGTATGGGTAAAATAACGTAGAAAAGAAATAAACTTTTGCAAAATTGGACTACGAGGGAGGTTTATGATAATTAGAAAGCTCTACTGTAAACTAAACACCATTGTTAAAATTATGATTAGAACTTAGTGTTAGACAATTTTATGCTTTTCCTACTACCTTTTATGTTGGGTCTGGGTAGCACCTCTATGTTGTGGGACCATTGTTGAATCGTTGATCATGGTCATGGCATTGAAGTGGTATTACCATTTTGAACAATTTCCATCTTGTCCACCCAATTGCTGTAATTTGATACAACTTATTTTTAAAAACTAAAAACTATTTTTTGAAAAGGAAATCAAAGATACTCGTCTTGTGCAACTCTTTTTAGCATTAATATCTTGATTTTGTTCCTAATCTCTCATGCCTCGCCTTGTCTTTAAACATAACACATGATGAACCTTTTCGTCTTTTGCATCTTGTGTTTCTACTTTAAGCCTCTGGCTTTTTCTTTAACTACTGAACAAATAGGGGACCAAGCTTTTCGTTTCCCTCTTGTGCATCTATGTGCCTTCTATGTGCTTCTACCTTCATCACTGCTCTATGACTCTGGGCACGCATTATGTTTTCATTTTAGGTTAAGCGATAAGAAATGTCTTTAAGTGTTGTTGGTAATTATTAGGAATGCACCTGGATTGACTACTAACATGGGGTAGAATCATGGTGTTTTTATTCAAGGGAATGCAAGAAAAACTCGTATGCAAATACTGTGAGAGGGTGATAGCAAGAGGGGTTTACAAAGTGTAGCATCACTGGGAAGGAACTCAAAAAGGATGTGGAGCCTGCAGAGAAATATTGAATGATGTGAAGAAGGAAACGTGGAATACTGTTACTTCATTGCAATAAAAGGTTCTAAAATAAAGTTAAGAAGTGATTGTGAACCCTATAATCTTTTCAAGAAGAGAGGGGTGAGCTATCAAGCAACCATCAATACCATTTTCAAGTAATCTTTGAGGGAAGAACTGTGTTTAGAAGTTCCTTCCTTTTTTTTTTTTATAACCTTTTAATGTTGCAAATAACGATAAGTTTAAGATGTATGAGTTTATTACAAGGCATGGTACAGGATTCAGGCCTATGTTCTACCATAAAATCTCGGTGAAATATCTAAAGCAAAAAGTTAATTTGTCTAAGAAAAATTTGGAGGGACATAAAGCTTTTTGGAAGCAATCTAGATGCACAGTTATGATGAATGAGTGGACTGATAAGGAGGACTGTATTAAATATTTTGGTAAATAGTCCTTTGAGTCCTTCAAAAGTCTATAAATGCTTCTAACATCTCTCAAACAACTGACAGGATTTTCAAAATGATGGATGTTGAAGAGGTTGGCAAAGAGAATGCCATCCAAATTGTCACGCATAATGCAACAAATAACAAGATTATTGTAGATGTGTTAATGAAGAAAAGGAAGAAGTTATATTGCATATATTTAATGCTTAAGGATTTTGAGAAGAAACTACCACTCCATAAGAAAACAATTGCAAGTGATAAAAGGATTACTACCTACATCTATTTTAAGACAACTATTATTTCATTTTTGCATAACTTTACCAAGAGAACAGATTTAATAAGACTCGTGGCTACTCATTTGTGGTAATTTGTTACTTGACTTTGGGTTGGTTGAATGGAAATACGAGAAAGTCGATAATGATCTTTGCTTAGAAGAAATAAAATTTAAGTCAATTTCTAAAAAGTGAGGATGGGAAGTTAATATAAATTTTGTTATAGATAAGGGATTTTGGACAAAATTTTTGAATAGGTTGAAGGTACTTATTCCTTAATCAAGTGTTGCATTTGATAGATTCTGATTTGAAACTAGCTAGGCATGGGTTTCATCCATAAAGAAATGGATCAAGCCAAAGAAACGAGGATTCAAAGTGTCTTTAACGGTGTAAAGAACAAATAGTTATTTTCTTCTATTATTTTTAATTTTTTACTCTTAGTTCATAAACTATTTTTTTAACCTCTAGTTACAAACCTATAAGATATCATTGATTGATGAAAGATGGGACAATCAACATCAACCTTAATCCCATGATGCACTTCCTAATTTTAAAGATATTTAGGGAATTTGACATGCATTTCTTTCGATTGCAAATGTAATTGGATTTTTTTTTGAGATAGAATTTTTTTTTAATTTTTAAAAATAATTATATTTTATTCTTATAAAGAAATATTTAATTATTTAAGTCCATACCAAAAAAGGAATCATTCAAAGTATAAGATTATAAATGATGTAATATTCGTGATAACTATCTCAAGATTGTCAAAGAATAAACTTTTTATAAAAAAATTTAATTGACATTGAGGATCTCTCTTTTGATGAGAAATGCATTTATTTGAATATTCCTAGTGAAGATGATTTGGTTGAAGTAGAAAGAAAATGGTGGACCTAGACATTGGTACTGGTGCTCCTATGGATGATTTGGAAGTGTTTAATTGTGACGAAGATGAAGAACTTGATAATGCTATTAATGAAGATGAAGATTATATGAAAGACGACTATTATGACTGTGGCTTGGACAACTTACTACTAGATTAAAGCAAAAACAACATGCAATTGTCAAACTAGATTCACTAGATAACACTATATTTATTGTGACTTAAATGACTTTATTGCTAACTTATGAATTTTTATTTAATGTTCAGTTAAATGTTGTCATTTACATGTTATTGTAGATATCTATTTTATTTTATACATATGTATATGTTTAGGTCTAATTTTACATTTTGGTAAGATATTGTGATCCCTTCTATGATCCTGTGATTTGCTATCTTTTACCCTCTTTCCCATCCTAAGTAAAATCTCAATTTCTCTAACATTGTTAAACACAAAGATTGATTGTCAATTTATCCGTGAAAAGAACAGCTATGACGATGTTATCAACTCCTTTGTTATTTCAAATCTTTAGTTGACCAATTTAATCACCAAGGCATTTCAAGGACAAATAACATCTTATATTTGCAATTGATTTGGTTATTTTGAGACATGCGCTAGCTTAAGGGGAAGCATTGGAAACATAAATTATTTATCTAGTACTGACCAAATAACCTAGATACAATATAACCTAGGGAACATGATGGAAACTAGATCAACAAATAAATGAAAAAGAATATATTATTGTTAAAGAATCTTGATCACGATCTAGTTTCAATGTAGTGCAACATCAAGAATAGGAAAAATATGTAGAAAGAATATTGATTCCTTAGGTATTTCAGAGATCTCGACCTTCCTTAGTCCTTATTACACTTCTAAACTCTTAGATGTCCCTTCTTTAGTTTAAATGCACGTGAAATTATCAAACTCTCAACTCAATGCCTTTGAAGTAATGGATTTTCAATGAAAACAAATTTCCACGCCAACCACTCTCCTTAGCCCACGGGAATACATACACAAACAGCACAGAGAGATGGGAAAATGAGCAGGCTATTTTAGAATAGTAGCCTAATTCTTATCTAAAACAATAAGAGGGGAAAAAAGAACCATTGTTGCTTATTCAAAAATTAAACATAAAACATAGGGGTACAATGTAGATTCCCAACCAGATCCTCTGGGGATAATATTCTCCCAGTTGATTGCAGTGCACAGCTAACATGATTCTGTATAATACACAGCACAAAATCCAGCAATGTGGCCTAAGATCATTGTAAAATATAATAAGAAATTCAATATACCAATAATTTCCTTCATGCATATATATACATCATCGCCAACTAAAAGGAAAGATTATGAAAACATAACCCTGTTCGACTGCACTTATTTTGCATCACAAACAACAAAGCAAAAGTGAACCATAAATGAAGTATTTCCATGAATATAAATATGGCAAGTGTAACAGAAGAGGATAGAAAACAAAAAAGCAGAGAGTTTCTCACATAAAGTCTTATGCTTGACACTGAGATATGCAGCTAGAGGTTGTGTATGTCAAACAGTGCAGTACTGAAATGAGAAAACAAGTGTTTCCAAGATTTTGCAATCCAGCTCCCTGAGAATTATGAATAGCATCCTTTTCTTTAATCAAGCCTGTATATAATAAATTCCAAACCATGACATTCCAGAGCCTTTACCAGGAATATTTGTAGGTTACATGCATGCTTATTACATTTGATGATTACATGACTTACAGGTCTTGGGACAGCGAATCCAGAAAAACGATTCCAAATTCCATAGAATGCAGTGGCCACAATTGAAGCAACGTGTTGGTTTGGTGTTACAGCCACTGTCATCATGCCATACAGGTGAAGTATAGAAATACATGAAGAATAGATACCAAAAGAATTTGGATGCATATTCCATTCAAATCCTCTCATTGCATAAACTATGAGGCCATATGTTATACAACTTGAGCAAGAATATATGGTAGATCTATTACAACCTAAGAATAGATACTATAAACCTGACATAGAAATTAAATACTAAATGATGCTACTAAAAGTTATAATAATAATAAACTATGCAATTGCATAAGGAATGGCTGAATACATTCCACCTGCTCATTCTATATAACAGATTGTTCTTTCAATGGCCACCACTGGCTGCACAGAAGAGGTATTCTGGGTCCCAAGGAAGAGAATGGCATTGTACATGGAACCAATGGAGTTCCTTGAAACCAGGAACAGGCTTGCTCAATTCAGCTACAAGTTATATTTTGTTTTTCATTCAACACATTTAAAATTTATCACTAAACACACATTAATTTCTTATACAAAGTTTTCAATTCAGTTCACTTAAAATGGGGTTCAAAATAATCTGCTACGTGTGCCTTCCAATTATAGAATTCAGATTAATCTGTGTTAGTGCATGAAACCTTTTTGCTCGGATAATCATTGGGTTAAACAACGTAGTAGTGTCCACTTCCAACTTAAAGATAATATAGGTGATTGAGCCCACACTTAGAAGGATGATTTAACCATAAAAAAGCATATCTTATCTTTGTGCCTCTATAACTTTACTCGGAACCAGTCACTGACTTAGCAATTTGATAAGCTTAGAAGCAACTGTCTTATGATTCGTAATGGCAGTGAAAAATTTTCTAAATTAAAAATAAATAACTGATTTATATACAGTTATCATTTGTCAAATACATTCTAAATTAAAAATAAGTAACAGGCGTAGAGACCAATATATATAAAATAATCATTTATATATGTAGATCTCCCAAGTCCCAAGACAGCTTGATTTGCAGCTAGATCAATAAAACATTAATATAAAACATAATATGTTTACAACAGATCAGCAGCCATTCAACATAAAAGGCTAGCTTTAGCCAAAAAGGACGAAAAGAAAAGTCTCGTCCACACATGAAGGAAGAAAATGAACCACTGTTACTTAAATCTTACTAATATCCATCCACATCATGAAGTATAGATACCCATTAATGCATAAAAGACAAAAATCAAGGAACATAGAACTTACTAAGCAAACAGCCTAAAAAAGCATTAAATAAAACATTGGCAACCGAGTTTATTGCTTTCCCCAACTTACAATTTCTACATTAGCATACATTTAATCAAATTAGTTAGTCTATGCCAACTTAAAGAAGCATGGGCTTATGTAAAATTTGGCATAAATTTTTGTATATCTTTGAAGCTAATCTAAAATTGAGGTTAAAAAAAGTAATACCTTATCCTCGTGACAAGTGAGTGCAAAGCCATCTGAAGTGGGACGTAATTTCATGGAAACTTGACATCAGTTATAAAGCATGTAATTGTGTCTATGCCTGTCTGATGCAGGATCGGATTTCTACAGTATTTTGTTTGTCCTTGACAACAAGATTCTGAAATTCTATGTGATAATTATACAATTGCTTAAACATATGTTTAGGAGTTAGAGCTCAGGAGGAAAGCTTACTTGATTAACTGTACAATGCAAATGGATGGTGGAAGATTGTTCACAATGAACACCGACTATGTCAGCCCCTGCCTTGATAAAATCTGGCACCCTTTGTTCAAGTTCTACAATCATGAAAACATGTCATTTTCATTGCCATTATATTTTGACCAACAACTGCATCAAATAAACATCATCAAATGTAGATCAAAAGGCAACAAGATGCCAATTTCAGGAAAAACAAACAATGATTTACTTACATGAAACAGAGGTAGGAGGTAGCGTTACACCCAATCAACTTTGTGCAGGTAACATTACACCCAAGTTTGCTGCTGAAGTATCACTGACCAAGTCCAAAAGGAGAAAACTACACAAAGTGCTACACAGCCTACACCCAATCAGATTAATCACCATGTTGAGAGGATCCATTTCACTCAAGTTCGTAGTGTATAATAGAGGAAGAAAATCACCAACCTGGAAGAATAAATTAAATGGAATTGTTCTATGTGAAGTGCACTTCACCAATAGCCAGAAGTTTTAGTCATCGTGCACCCAGCCACAACAAACTCAAAGTGCAATGCAAAGTAGGTAGGATTCATCGTCTCTAATTGTTCCTTAGATTTGTGTTTGTTTTAGGGTCAGGACCCGTGGATTGTCCCAAGGCTGACCCAGTATGTTATGGGGTAATCAATTTAGGGCAGGACTGGATTTTTTAAACTAGCACTAGATTAGGGATAAATGAATTGATTCAGGGCTAGGTAGGATTAGCCCTTGGGCTAAAGGCCTTATTGACGGCTCTACTAACAGAGACTGAAAGGTAGGTTCAAGTCATGGAATCAAACTTTTGCAAGCCCTTTTCTTCTTTTTCTCAAGAAGCTAATACCACTGGGCTATATCACATTGCAGATAAAAATTAACATTTTATGCAATCCTATCAGTCTCCTTCCCCTCCTAATAGAAGAATATACATCTGAGAAAAATGTTGTTATTTTTGTGGATTAGAATTAAATAATTCTGGATATTTTTGTTGAGTAGAATTAGCACAAGCAAAGGTTTTATCAGATGATAAAGAGAGCATAAATTTTCAAAGTCAAGAGCAATGAGGAACTGTGGGAGAGGGGATGGAAGAACTAGTAGTATTTTAGCACTAGTTAACAACTCATTGTGGGTGAGCATCCGCACAGACTTACAAAGAAGTTATGAATGAACAATCTATAGTTTTAAAAAAAAACAGGTCCACTACATGGCAAGGCAGAAATACAATTAGAATGCAGTCTATTTCTTTTTTTCATTTATTCATTTAGCCTCATGGTTCAGTCTGCTTAAGAATTGGGACTATACCTAATTAAAAATTAGAACATGTGGATACAATAACTAAACTAACACAGCACTTGATCATATAGCAAAAACAGGTCAGCAATTAATTTGGAGACCGTCTTGCTGTATTCAGCTAGCAATGAAAGAAATGAGTTAGCAGCAACATTCAGTCCACATCCACACAACAAGAAAAGTCTATGTCTTGAAGAGTGATTCTTCCCATGTACAAATCACTTACATGATCAGTACAGAGAGGGAGGCACTTCCGGTTCAGGCATTCATGAATTGCACCCATCCCTTGCACCCATTTTTCTTTCTCCAGTGGGTTCACATTCAAACTGTTTTGCAGCAAATGGACTCGATAAAAAACTGTAGTTGTCTTGTCACAGAAATGGGCAATGCAAGGTGATGGAGGCTCATTGGATGCCAACCTTACTATAGCCAAAGATAAAGCCCCATCTACAGGTTTTGGATCAGAAAGATTTCTATCTCCCATCATCTTAACCTCTCTTTCTGTAGGAAAATGCACTTCATGATTTCCATTCACATCATAAACTTTCAAATCTTTAGTGAAGTGCTTTATCACTTCACGCTTAGTGGATTCATGCTTCTCTGCTAGTGTCAAAATACAAGAGAACCTCACATGATAAGTTACAATAGTTTTGACTGTCTTAAAGTTGTGGCAACAGCAGAAAAAATCAAGCCACCTTCTTGCTATGCCAGCATACCACTTGATGATATCGGCATCCTCAAGAGCAACAAGGAATTCAATTGGTCTTGGACGACCCATATGATTTGTAAACCCAACCAACTTCACAGCTTTTCTTATGAGAATTAGTGGTGCTTCAACCTTCAGACAGAGCCTTGTCAAATCCTCAACTGTTCCCCTAGCATACTTTTCTTCCTCCTCTTCCTTTATTCTTCTTTCTTCTTCCTCTATTGCTTTTCTAGCTTTTACAGGATTCAAATGTTTATCTACCTGCTCTTGGAACTTATCGTAGGCATCGACAAGGTCAGGGGGTAATTGATTTCGAATGTGTCTCAACTGAAGAAAATCACCAGCTGATAGACTTCGATGCCATTCTTGACACTCATCTACGTTCCCCAAGAATTCTTGCACCACTTCATCAGCCCAAGATCTAAAAATTTCTCGGACCTCATTTTCAATACTATAGTCAAATTTAAACCCTTCACCTTGTTTGATCTTTTTATAAACATGACCAAATATCTTCAACCCCAATTTCCTTCTGTTCCTTGCTCTAGCATTTCTCAATTCCAGAGCCCTAACTTCCTTCTGCCTGAGGTACTTCTTCCGCGCCCTAATTGCTTTCTCCGACATTGGCGGGCGCAAAACCGAAGGCGGAACAACCTGCAATTCCATCCCAAGAAACTCAATCTTCTCCGACGCCGCACTATGAATCGCGGTGCTCACCTTATCAACACGCAAACCCAAACCAAGTTCCAAGCCTTTCACAACCCCCGTCCTCAACTCCATCGCCAACATCTTCGACCCCGACGTCACAACAAGTATCTCATCCAAGTACCTCACAGCATACAGCTTCACTGGCTTGTAAAACACATCAGAATCCAAACCTGAAGCAATCAGGTTCGGATCCAACCCTCGATTCTCTCGATTCTTCCGAAGCCGCATCTCTTGAATCTCTTTATCAAACCCATCAAAGTACACATTCAACAAAATCGAGCACAACCCACATTCCTGAGGAAACCCTCTTCCTAGACAATCCCCACCCAATTCAATCACCAAAGCCTTACATTCAAACAACCTCTTTATCAAATCAATCAAAACGACATCGTTCACTTTCTGTTCAACAAAAGAACACAACTTCTCCACGTGAAAATGTTCAAACTTGTGACGCTTGAACCTCACGGTGAACCACCAACTAGGATTTTCAACTGAGCTTTTTAAGTACCTTATTGCAGTGTGCCTTCCCATTCCAACGCGCCCACCGTAGCAAAACGTCACGAAGCGTTCGTCGTACACGATTTCCAGAACCATCCTAATGGCCTCAACCACCACCTTCAGCTTCAAATTGGGGAGAACCAACGACGAACCGTTTTTGGTCGAGGGTGTTAGTGTGACGCAGCACGCGGCCAAGTCGAAGCGGTTCTCGCGAAGCTCTTGGGCCAAGGCCTCGAGGCTGAACCGGTCCGGGACCGAACCGAGGGGGGAGGGAGCGGCGAGATTGTGGCAAGCGGTGAAGAGGACCGGGGGTGAAGCGACGACGTTTTGGACGAGATTGATGAAGTTGCCATGGGTGTAATGGTTGAGAACAAGGTTTTTGAGCTGGGATTTAGTGAGGGGTTGTATGGGTTCGTGGGTCGAAAGAGAGAGTTGAAGTGGAAGTGTTGAGTGAAGTTTGAGAGAAGAGTGGCGAGAGAGGGTGAATACGCGCGAGTTGGAGGTGATGGTTCGTTTTATGAGCAACGATGCTATGACCATGGACGACAAAGAAAGGGGAGTTCTTTTTTAGCTTTTGTTTTGGAGTGTGAGGGACATTGAGAGATGAGAATGAGTGTTGATTTTAAATGTTCCCGTGTTTGAACCTTGCTTCTTATACTTTAGGTCTCAATAGCTCACTCATGCGCTATTAAGGAGGAACAACAGGTTATGGATTTTATAGGTCACAAGCGATTTGGGTGAGTTTAAACAGATTTGGCTCATGACAAAAGAAAAAAAACAAAAAACAGATTGGGCTGAAATGTAAATTGGACATTTCTTTTGCACAAATTATCAAGATTTATTTTGCAGAAGTTTTATTCGTAAGTGTGTATCCAACGACTCTACACTATCATTTTTAGTAGTTACATCACATTTTTCTTAAATGAGTTTATTATAAATCAATTTTCGTAAACAAAGTAACATCACATTTTTCTTAAATTGTGAAAATGTTAGTTTAAAAATTACTTTTTAATTAAACTATATACCGTGACAATATTTGTACGTCCTCATTAATATTCACATATAGGTCATCAATTTTGTAACACATCACCTTCTGTTGATTATTTGCTAACTTCTAATATAAATAAATTTGATAAGAGTATTCTAATTTGAAGTATGTTGTGTTGATATTATCATTGAAATATGTTTGTGAAATTTTTTATTTTATTATTTAAACATTTGTCTACTCATTTTTAGTTTAATTTTTTATTGTAAAAATTTATGTAAACTTACAATGTAGACACTGCTAATATCTTCTAAGATTATTTATCAAATGGAAAATTTTGTAAAATTATTTTTTAAAAAATTAAAATCATGGGATAATACATAACAGTGTAAAAGTATAGTCAAAATTAATATTGTAAAATAACAAAAAAAATATTGAATCTAGATTTGTCTGAGAATTATGAGAGAGAAATATTTATAAAAAGAATTTTAACCAATAAAATATTGTGATTTGCATAGAAAGTGACAAGTTGCCTTGTGATATAGCATAATGTCATGTAAAAGGTAATATGTCATAGCGTTAAAAAAGTAAAAAATGATTTTACTTGCATTCAAAATTTTATCTTTGGTTTAACTTTTAATTATGAGTGTAACATTCTTAATTTTTACTATTTCTTTTATATAATAAATTATAAATATTTAAAAGAAATAAAATTAATTTATAAGATAAAACGAGTAGTTTGAAAATGTAATGACATGAAACTTTTTTGAAAATGAATTCTTTCATGATACTTTGCAAAACATTAGAAATATATTTTTTACAATTTAAAAATTAAACATAAAAATAATAGGATTGATGAAGTTAATTGCTGAATATTACAAATATAGTTCAAATTATTATTTATAATAATTCTTATCAAACCTTTTAAATGTTTAAATTTATCATACATTATTTACATACCAAAAATTAATTTCTAACTAAGACTTAATTAAAATTTTTACAACCTTATTACAATTTAAAGCTACAGAGCAGATTCTTCCTTGCAACACCACTGAGAATATAATCCTAGAGCGGACCATCCTTCATTTCAAATTCTTGAAAAAGTAGTTATAAGAGTGAGTAATCTCATCCTCAATAATTCATTGATTTAAGCATTATCTAAAATTTACACATGAGACATAAATTTGTGTCAATATAATAAGTAAGGCTAGTTTCAGTACTAAATTAATAAAATCATAACAACAACTTCTTTATTTACACTTTAAAGCATACGATACATATAATATAATATCAAGTCATACATTACATTCACTGATATTTCTGTAGGTTAACAGATCATCCATCACTTCCTAATTACTTTTACTTCATCCATTTTCATATCGAGCAGTATGTCATAATGAGTGCATTATAATCATATTAATTAATACATTACAATACATGTATTATAATTACACCCGTTGATGTATTACAATACCTGTATTATAATTGCACTACTTAATCTGTTATGATTCACCTATTACAAACACACATCTCACAAATTCATATTTATTGGCTCTAAGATGCCTTGAGGTCTTACATAATATATGTATAGATAGCTGCTGGTTAGCCGTAATAACATGGATATAACATGTGTTTTTCCAGCCCCCTTTTAGAAAAGATATAGTCAGGAGTGTCTTGTCAGGAGATGAGTGTGTGACCTATGAATGCTTTTTCCTTTTATCAAATCATTGTACACTTTCTTACAATTAGCATTTACCACCTTCATTTCTCTAAGATTTCCTAAATTTTCTCTGGACTCTATATCCTTAGTGTATCTCTATAACCATCTATACCGTGTCTCAGCATTTTTCATGACACTTACTTTCTCAATATTTCATATAACATTCAAATATCCAACAATTTTCATTCTAATTCATTTTCTCAACAATTCAGTATTTCTACCTGATACATATCTTATCATCATTTGAGCATTTCATATTCTACACAATTTATCATCATTTTCTTTTTCACTTGATAATATAAACAACTTTAATTTAACATGCACACTTATTCACATTAGCTCTTTATTCATAAATTATGAGTAATTACATTTTACCATTCAAAACAATCAAATATTTTTCATAATGACATGAATTCACCAATCTCCACATTTATCAATTATCAAATACAAACTCACACTCATCACAATACACAGTTCCAATATTAAAAATTAATTCACCTATCTCACATCATCCACATTAATGAAGTGTGCCAAAGATCTGTCACTCTCAATCTCAACTAGTCATATCGTTTAACACACATTAAGCTAAACTACAAAGAAACTATCAGAGATCACACTCTCGATCTTTTTATAAAATCTTCTATCCTAAGTTTAACACCTTTGATCCTTTATTGTTAAAAGTCATAATACAACAATAATTATACATACATATTAACATCAGGATAAAAAATTCTCTTAAAAACTTGTTTCACTCATAATTTTTGTTACAAAATCCCATCTAGGTGTTTTAAAAAATAGATCATCAGACTTTCATGCTCTAAAAATCTCAGTTTATAAAGGCTTTACTATTCAGCATAAAGTATTGATTTTTTTAACCAAGCACATAATAAGAGTTAGGGTTCGGGATCTACTACCTTTACCTTAAAACAAGTCCCTAAGATCAAATCCTTCTTGAGGTCCAAAGTAAAGGTATAACACTTTCAATGGAAGATTTTGTCCAAAATATAGAGATCTCCCTAAATATTACAAGGTAAACACCTATTGAAAAAGAAAAAACCGAAGAAAAGGGATAAAGCTGGAGATCTAAGCTCCAAGAAACTTGCTTAGTTTCGAATGGAATAGATGTTTGAGCTCACATCTGGAAGAGAGTCAAAGTTCAGGAGAGCTTCTCTTGAGAGGAGATGGAGAGAGAATAGAGAGAAACGAAGAGAAAAGACTGTCTATTGAGAAATGAATGTTTTTAGAGTTGAGGTTCTTTAAATATCTCTCTAAACTCGCACGTTCTCGCTTGAACAAGCTCTATCCTCGCCTAGGCATATATTGTGATTTTTAACCAATAGAATATTGTGATTTGCATAAAAAATGATAAGTTGTCTTGTAATATAGTATGATGTCATGTAAAAGGTAAATATATTGTAGCATTAAAAAACTGAAAAATGATTGTACTTGCATTCAAAATTTCACCCCTAATTCAACTTTTAATGATGAGATCTTAACCTTTGGATGAAAGTTTGAAGTTTTATTGAATCTCTACCTTTCCACACTACTAAAATCTCTACTACTTTCTCCCTACTATCTTTTTAATTTTTCTCTCTTATCCTGCTTAAATCATCTTCATCTTCTACTCATACTTACTTTACTACACATAAAAAAAAGTTTCTCATCCAAGAATCATTATACTAATGAGATTGTGAACGGGTGAGTGAGTGGAGAAAGAATAAGTGAAAAGTCTTCATTTTATCTTTTGATGGTAAAAACATGTGTTCTGATTTGTTGATATGCTTATACGGTGATACATGATTTAAAGTGAAACTTTGCGTTATTTTTGTTTTGGGAAAATAAGTATTTTATTTTATATATTTATGATAAATGTTGCTACAATATTATTTAGGGATGCCATGAGTGATTCTCTATTATTTTTTATGAAATATGTTGCTATATGTAATGATGACATGCTAAAGGTAGCTCCTTATATGTAAAAATTTGAAAAATAGGTTACTTGATGATGGTTTTGGCCATGAGCTAAGCTATGAGTAAATGTGTAGATGAAAGTGATGGTTATGACATGATACAATGGTGACTATACAATAAAAATTTGTGTTAGAAAAATCATGAATTATGAACCATAAAAACTTAAAATCATGAAACAGACACTTCTTTATTTAGAAAAAAATCACGTAATGCTTGAAAAAATCTAAAATGTTGAGTTTTTGAAATTTGATATTCCTTAAATGAGAAATTTTTGGACAACAAACGTTAAAAATGAAAGAATTAGCATAAAAAAATTCACATGTAAGATCAAAATTTGCGGAATCCCGTTTTAGAATTCTACTAAATCTTAACTTAGCAAAGTTGGGCACTTAAAATTAAAACAAATGAAAAATTATTAACAAAATGACTTTGACAATTTAAACCCTTACATCACTCGCCAAAATTTGTCAAGTTTCTTAAGAATAACCACGTATACACAAATGTTAAAAAATACAAAAAATTGAATTATAGAGCTAACTACCAATAATTCGCTTAAAAGACTTCATTGAAATAAAGAATAAGTGTCATAAAATTTTAAGTTAGCAAAGAAAAGACTAAAATCACTTATTGAACTAAATGTTAAATAGTGAATGAATGGGGAAAACACTTAGAGACTCAACTTAACCAAATTGAAGTTCTAAGTACACAAATGGTTCTAAAGGCTTGATTGTACTTAAAATACTTCTAAGAAAATTGCTAGACTTACTTAGCTTTTTGTTGGCATGATGTGAGTAATTAATTTCTAGTAAATGAAGTTTAGAATAATTTAGAAACACTATATAGCAAAACATATTTAATGATTATGACACTTCATAAAACACTTACAACAATGTGGCAAGGTTCATTAATTTA